AAAAGTGTTCTAGAATTCTTCGGAATTCTCTACAACCTTAACAATCATAATAAAATGTACAGTTTTGACGTAGTCCCTATGTATACAGTGATACCGAAAGCAGAACGAACAAATCTAGCTCTAGAAATATAAAAAAAATTACGAAATATTGTTTTACAATTTGAGATTGGAAGCTTGAAAGACTTGTTCCACTTTGCACTAAAAATATGTTTCACCTTTCAAGGTAAAACTTACGAACAATTAGATGGCTTAAGCAGTCCTCTGTCACTTGGATTATGAGAATTGTATATCAGCAAAATAGAAAGACCACTAACACAGCTCTACACTCTCCCACACACTGGTTTAGGTACGTCAAAGATGTATTTTGTGGATTTGAAGATTGTTTGTTTGTTTGTTTTGAATTCCGCGCAAAGCTACACGAGGGCTATCTGCGCTACCCGTCCCTAATTTAGCAGTGTAAGACTAGAGGAAAGGCAACTAGTCATCACCACCCACCGCCAACTCTTGGGCTACTCTTTTACCAACGAATAGTGGGATTGTACGTCACATTATAACGCCCCCACGGCTGAAAGGGCGAGCATTTTTGGTGTGATGGGGATTCGAACCCGCGACCCTCAGATTGCGAGTCGAGCGCCCTAACCACCTGGCCATGCCGGGCCGGATTTGAAGACAACAACCATCGACAATCATTTCTACAAACAAGTAAACAACATTCACTCTAACATCCAATTCACGCATGAAGGAGAAGTTTAAAACCAGATTGTAAATTACATGAACATAACAACAGAGAGAAACGCTAACGGTTTTAACACGAAAATATTCTACAAATCTGGTAACAATAACAACTCAGACCACTCAACTCAACAAAAAAATTGCACGTTATCATGCATTTATAACACAGCATTTAATACATACAGCAGCAGTAATCTACAACATTAACTAGAATCAATATCCTATACATTTATTAACAAGTGTCACTTCCCTAAACATATTGTCACTAGAATCTTAGTCAAATATATAAAAACAAACTCAATAACAGAAGAAGAAAAAACCAACATAAACTCCATGAAGGAAACAAAATGCTCAAACTCAGACACACTCATAGATGTTTTACCATATCAGGGTTACGTAACCAAAAACACTATAAATATCTGTAAACATGTATCAAAAAATAAAGTTTAAATATTAGTTATTTTTATTCAAAAACCGAGCACTAAAATCAAAGGTCATCTAAGGAAGATTTATTTTGACAACTTCAACAACGTAAGCATCTATAAGTAATAAATCGTTAGATGCAACAACACTTATGTAAGCGAAACGGGACGCAACAAAAACATTAAGATCAAAGAATACAACAATCCCCCATCACACATTTACGAACACAGCGCAACAAACCAACATTCAATTAATATAAGCTACTTTAAAGTATTATTCAATGAGAACAACATTAATAGAATAAAAATGAAAGAAGCATTAATCATTCGTGAACTACAACCTAATTTAAATCAAACACAGATGTCACCTATACATTTTCTAAATTGGAACTACCTGAGGATGATCAGTTATAAAGTTAAACAAAGAATAAATAACCAACTAAGAAGCTGTACGGCTGGACGTTTATTTAACCTCACTGAATTTGGTCTTATTTGGTTCCCACATCAATGGATTAATCCATTAACACACACTCCCTATTACCCCTCGCCCACGTAAAACAATATATATATATATAGAAGTGAGCTAGCTTCATATCTTTTTCAACGACTGCATTATTCTAACATGAAATTATTTTTAAGTAATGTTCGAATTACCCTTAGTTTCATATGATACATCCCTTCAGAAGGTCGCATTTTGCGAAATACATGATGCAAAAATCCGGGGCTCGATTCCCCACGATGGACATAGTAGACAAACCAATGTGACTTTGCTCTAATACAAATAAGCAATATTTTGGACACATTCTTTATTTAAAATAATCTAAACATTTCCCGCTTGACGAATGAATCGCTAATATCGACTTCTTCTTCTTCTTTTTAGTTCCTGTCGTTCCTAGTGGAAGATAGGGCTACAACAACACTTCGCCAACGAAACTGTTGTTGCAGTTTCTGTAGCAGATTGTTATCTGGGTGGAGTTGCTAGCCCCACGCCCAAGTGGGCATGTTTGGTGCGACAAATACGCGAACCCGCGACCCTCGAGTCAAGTGACTTATCCACCGGGCCATGCCATATCGACTAAATATAGTTAATATGCCATCACGCGATCGTCGTCAAGTTTGTTTTTAAAACATTCAATAATTGTTTAAATCAAATAATGAAAACGTTTTACTATTATGATAATGGTAATAATGTTTTTATTTAAAACATTTACCGATTGCAATCATAAATAAATAGCTAGTTAGCAAATATAATTATGTACGCTATTTGAATAGGATAAACATAAGAAATAATATTCAATAAATATTTGAAGCATCAGAATATTTTAAAGTTGCCTATGTACCAATTGATAATCATCAATAATTGAAGGTAATATTGTGTACACTTAACGTAGATAGTAAATGAAATTTGACATTAGCATAGGTAAGTTATGAATAATATTAAAATAAACTTTTTGTTTCTGTAAAACTTGTAAGTGCGTATATATTGTTGCGTCAGCGAGGTCACGTGACTAGTATCACGCCACGTCCTTCTCGAACCTTCATGAATTATCGGGAGACTACTAGATTGGGAGTAGCCTGGTATATATATGTATAAGACGGTCACAACGTGACGAAACAACAGTGTAATGAGTAATTGAATGTATGTGGATAAAATATTGAAACAAGAAGAGAAATTACAGCAGTGGTTGGAAGAAAAAGAAAAGAAACAAGAAGAACGAGAAAATAAACAAGAAGAGAGATTACAGCAGTTGCTGGAGGAAAAAGAAAATAAACAAGAAAAGAGATTACAGCAGTTGTTGGAGGAAAAAGAAAAGAAACAAGAAGACAAATTACAGCAGTGGCAACTAGAACAACAAAGGAAACAAGAAGTACAAATGGAAAACATTAGTAAATTTAAAAGCGAATTAGATACGTTAAAGGAAGATCTATTGACTTTTACACAAGGAGGATACATTGACCATCGACTTAATCAGCCCCAGACAATGGCAAGCCCCTTACAGAGCCCGCAGCTAAACCCTAATGCTGACATATTCAGTCCTGTTAGAAGTCACATCCCAGATATGAATGTCAGTAATAGGAGTG